CTATTAACACACATGTGTGCTTGTATGTGCACACACTCCATGTGTATGTGTGTCGGTAAGTACAATCATAAATAAACATTTGTTGCCATTATAATGAGATGAAAGTCAATGTCAATGCAGTCGACACACCTGCACATACGACCAACACAGATGCACAATAATGGAGTACATTATGTACTTGGCAGCTGGTGTTGTTGTCCTAACTGCATTATAACTTGGCCCATTGTCTGGTGAAAGTTTAATGAACCCGATAATCAGGTAACTAATCCCTCATTTGCAGTGCACACACAAACAGATTCTGTTGCTCATTATGCTGTACATAAGGAGTTCGAACTTTGACCTTCGTCGAAAGGATAAGTAACTGAAAAGTACGAAGCTGGAAGCTCATTTATCTCAGGCAAATAAGCGAAACCTAATTGAAAACTAATTTCCTCCTCACGCCCACCGTGTGTGTGGTGTGTGGGAAATAAAACGCGAATTACATGCGAATGGCCACAATATGGGCAATAAAACATCGGAATCAGTTTGCTGGCCGTCTCAAGGAACAAGAGCGGCCACATCATGGCTAATAAAAATTTATTGGCGCCAGGACAGGCTCATGACCAGAGCTCGGATATAAATAAAATGGGTCGTAAAAGGGACTTTATGCTGCAGTAAACACGTCATCAACATATCAACTGGGCACAGATAAGCAGTTACCAGTATCAACTGCGCCAAGTTGGGGGCAATTAGAGTCATAAACTGGGGCTCTGAACGCGGAAGAGGCGTCAACGGGCACGTCGCTATATTAGCACTTGATGGAAATGGCCGAGGCCATAACAATCAGCCACGGCAGGTGTATAACCGTATACGGCTTTTCAGCGGACCATCTCGAACGGACTACTGACCACCGACCACTGACCACTGACTACTGACCGCTTCCGAAGGACTCGAACTTACCATTTTTTGATGTCCCCATAAAACCTGAGCCGTGAAGTGAAATACGGATTGGCAAAATCTGCTCAAACGGTGTTTTAATGAGCTGCCAAAGACTTGTATCATATTAATGATTAAAATTGGAAGAGCTATAACATTAAATTGCTCGCTGCTAAAATCTGATTAAAATTAAAAGAGTTATAGATTTAGAACTAGAGAATTTTGGTCAATTTTCAGCAAGCCCTTTCTTTGGAAATTCCGAAAGGGGTTACATTTTTAAAATTAAAAAAAAAATAGACAAAAAAAAATTAACTGATGATGCGTCTTGTTAGAGAAATAAAATACAAACATTTAAAGGCATGACACTTTAAAATCTGATTAAATAAGAAAAGTTATGCCCTCAGAAGCAAACCCACTTTATACAAATTTGGAAAGGGGTTGTTACAACGAACTGGAGATTTTATGTTGACTAAATGTTGTCATATTTATTATTTTACTTTTCCAAATATTAGTTTAAAATTTAAGGTAAACTTTTAATACATTTCTTTCTATTCAAATCTTTTTGGTTTCTTTACTTTAAATTTAATATAAGTGTTGATGGCAAAAACTGAATATGAATTTTAATCAAAATGGAACTCAATTGACTTACCTCCTTGTATTTACTTGCCAAAAGCAAATACAATTTTTAATTGATATGACATTTAATATATTCGTAAATATAGGGCGAAGGCAGATTCGCAAATACAGCTCTAGGATCTGAGTACAATTTTTGTCATGTGGTCATGAAGGCCTCCCCATCCACAAATCTTTTTGCGTTTTTTCTTCTATTTTTTTTTTTTTTTTTTTGTTTGCTGTATGCCAAGACGAACTTCTAAGCGCAGAAAATGAAAAGGTGAAGGAACATTTTTTCCATCATCCTTAAATGTGTGTATCGTGCAGGACGTCGCGCAAATCACCCAAGTGAATTCACGCCATTTTTCAGCGTCCGTCGCTTTGTCCGGACGAAGGCCCAAGCACACACACACCCACCACACACATAGTACACACACACACACTCCCCCAAGAGTGGAGGTCCAGTCGTGAAAGTCCTATAACGGGCTACCCCACTTAACCGTCCGGCGACCCGCCGATTCAGCTCCTGATTCTGAAGCCGATGGTGAAGCTGATGCTGACACGTTCGCTGTCCGTCGCCGGGCGTTCGAATACAAAATAAATATCCAATATATGCCCATGTGGGTGTGTGTATCCTGTTTCTGGCATATATTATAAGTGGAATAGAAAAATAAATGCGCCGAGATAAAAGTTTTCCCTCGCACCCGCCGGCGACCCAGCGTTCTGGGTTCCCGGTGTCCTGCGTGTCTGCCCACCGATTCCATCCACCCACTTCCACTCCCCCTTCCACTCCCCCTTCCACTCCCACACACATGTCCACCCACTCCGCCGCTCAATTCACCGCGGCGCAGCAGCAACATGTCAGCGGCGAACAATAACAACAAGCCGAAGAACGGAGCGCGACAAAAGGCGAAGGCAGCGGGCAGGACTCAGGATTCAGGAGGCAGGAGGCAGAATCGAGAATCCAGAAGGCAGAAGGCAGCGGCGAAGGCCCACTTGCAAGTCGGCCAGCCTTTGCAAAACGGACGCGTCACGAAGCACGTTTGAAATATTGAAGGAAGGACATTTAGGAATAAAATGAAAGGATCGCACCCCATCCCCAGGCACCCCTCGCAAACGTGTGTCCTCGCGCACACAAGCAGAAAAAATGGCAAGATTTTAAAATGATTTTAATATAATTTCGAATTGGAAACAACTACTATAAAGTATAGGTACCACCAATAGTAAGTTTGAACTATAACTTAGCTGTTATAATTAAAAAAGAATGCATTCAAAATATTTAATTTAAGAATCCGGTTATTAAACTTTTGTTCAAATTGATTCAAAACATTCAATAGTTAAGTTCCAAAAATGTACACCAATTTTGCCTTAAAAATAGGCTCAAATCGAATCCCAATTTAAGGGTTACAATCATAATTTCAAATCGAATATATTTTTTCCTTTGTGTCCACACACACACACACACTCACACACGCGGACGGAGTCGACAACCCGTGTGCAAAACCCTCGCGATTCCCCCACCCCCTTCGCCATCTCCACCTCCACCTCCACCACCATCACCATCACATGTCCTGTTTGCTTCGGCAAGAACCCACTTACACTCACACACAATCGCCGCGCACATGTGTGTGCATGTGAGTGTGTCGGTGTGTGTGTATACTTCGCGTAAATATTGGGAGTCCTTGACTACGCGATGTGAATGATGCTGATAAAATACAAATTCTTGGGCCGCGGCGTTGGCCGCTAGTGTATTTACACAACTGTACTTATGCCCAGCCGGTCACTGGCCAAGTCCGAGGCAACGCCAGCCAAGGATGGCCGCCAGGAAGGCAGGATAACATGGGGGATGGGAAGGGGGAGGTGAGAAGGCGGAGGCGAAGGGACGAAAAGGAAGTCCCACCACCGCGGGGGACGACAACACGGCCCACGACCCACGGACTGTGGACTACGGACTACGGACCACGGACCACGGCCCACGCCTTGGCGCACAACATTGACTAGCCGCTATTACGGGGTCCCGCGACTCGGAAGTCCAAAAAGGACACCGCCAAAAAATTAGCATACCTTGAGGGGTCATCTTTGAAAATTGAAAGAAAGTGCTGAAAGTGTTTGAAGGAGCTTTGAATTTATAAAAAATAAGAAGGAGCCTTACTAGAAAACTAACACTAGATATGCATATAATTTAAATATTTTATAATGTATTAAATTCTTATATTCAAAGTTACGTAAATTCCATATTTAAACTATGGCTCAATATCTTAGGATTATCATAAAAAACAAGTTTTAAAAATCATTTTGAAGTATTCTTCGAGCAGTATGTAAAATCTTGAACTAAAAGAGTATCCGAATTTCTCCTAATACACAATGTACCCCTTCTTTTTGAGCAGTGCACGAAATCTCCTTGTCCAGTTAGCGAACAAAAATCTGCGACGAAATTACGCCACATGTGTTCATGCCACGAGCAAATTTTCAGCGAAGCTAGCGAACGGTAGGCGGACAAGGGACAGCACTTTCATCTTAGGACGATTCTTTCAAGGGACGAACCCAATTTCGCCGTCCCATCAGGACGAGGGTGGCGATGGGCGGTGGGCGGAGGTCGCAGGACGCAGGACGAGGGGCGGGGGTCACGGACATCATATGAGTTTCCATGTGTGTATGCGTGGGTCGTGAACGATTGTGTGAGCGCTTTTAAGGGTGTGGGTATCGCGCTAAATGGACAGCCGCCCAGCTCAGACATTCGTGGGTAAGTGTGTGTATGTTTTCCAGGATACTTCTCTGCATGTGTGTGTGTGTGTGTGTGTGTTTGTTGCCTCCAACCACGGCTCTTCGGCTGTACGGCTTGTGTGCCTTGGGCGCGGGTCCGTCCGAACACGGCAGCAGCATCAGCCACTTTGTCCAATTTTCAAACGGTCACTTTTTGAAACGAATTTTCCTCGCCGTCGCCGTCGTCGTCGCAGTCGCAGTCGCCACACCACCACCGCCAGCACCACCACCTCCAAAGCCACCCAAAAAAGCAGGCAGAAAAAGCACCCAAACCACTCAATCCACCCAGATGCCCTTAGCGACGTTGTTCGCGCGGCGGCAATGATTCTAGGCCATGAAATCGACATTCGCATTTTAGAATCCACCAGCCGACAGCCACCGGGGAAGGAAACTCTCAGAAATCCACTATCTGCATCTTAAAGGCCGACCTTTGACTCTGATTTAATCAGAAAGTCGACAGTTCGCCTTTTCTTTGAATGACCGAGAAAACCAAGGAGTCAGTTTGATCGATTGGTAACTAGCAAATAATCTGCCCATAAATCAATTTAGTTGTTTCGCAAACGCTTATTTATAAGCGGCTAATTGCAATTATATTTCACATCAAATAATCAATATCTGGTAATGACTTCTTCGTTGGTAAAGGCACTTTTATTGTGGCTTAAAGTATATAATACTTTCAATTACTACAATAAAAATAAAACATTCTACCATTTAAGTTTTTAACCCGTTTATTTCTTGTTTACTCTATAAACTTAAATACAGTTCAACTCATTATTTCGATGACTCCGATGCTCTCCTTCCCACATCTTCCTTTTTCAAATTAAGCCGCGTGTCCTTGAGCAAGGAGTTCTTAACTATTTCGTACTTCTTTTGGGACTCCTCGTGGGTTAAGGTCAATCTCTGCTGAACCATTCGCTTATTGAGTTCCAGATTTTTCGATTGCTGAACCAAACGCTTGTAGTCGTAGTTGTCGAACTGATTTTCGAATTTGTTAAGAAACCGGTTCAAGGACTTCGACTCGGAGGTAAGCTAATAAAAATGATATAAGTATTTATAATTAATCAATAACTTTACACTTACATCCTCGTAGTGGCGTTGCAAGTTATTTAGCAGGCTGACAAATCTAGATTTCAGATCATTCAGACAGGCATTATAGGCATATTGAGATTGTTCGGCTGTTAATTCCTCCTGGTCTTTATATGGCACCAAATAGGGAGCCAAGAAGTCAGCAGGCTTACTGGCTATTTCCTTCTTGAGTTCCTCTTCCTCTTCAAACTAAGTTGAATTATTTATAAATCAGATTGAATTAATTAAAATTGAATGGAAAGTTTACCTGTCTCATTCTGATTGCTCTGGCTGCTCCATTGCGAAGTGGATCAAAGATGCTAAACTTGAGCTTGGGTTCAGCTTTCTCCGACTTGCGCAAGTCGAAGATGTTGTTGATGTCCTCGAAGATCTTCTCAAAGTTCTTCCTCAGCTGATCCTCGTACTGAAGTTGATCGCGCAGCAATCTGTACAATTCGAGATTAGTGCGAATGGGATCTAGGGGATTTGCCTGCGGGGGATTTAACATCTCAGGTGTATAACGAATGCAAATTGAAATTATCCCCCTTGTTTACCTTGTATATTTTAGTTAGTTTCTCATCATACACGAGCTCCTTGCCATAATCCGGTTTCGGTGGCTTTGTGAATTCCACTGTAGTTGCAGTGAGTGCTCCGAATGTATAATGGAACTTGAGAACTATTTTATTCTGCTGGAAGAGGAATGTGCGGATTGCAATATCACTCGTGCCCACATCATCTGCACCGGCTTTGTGAAACTTCTCAGTCACTTTCTGTTATGATTATCAAAGTAGGAGAAAATTTAAATATATTAAGATATTAAATATACTTTGAGTACGTTTCCAGCTTTAGTGAATTCGAATTCCTTGTACCAACACTTGTCCCCTCGATCTTTGTAGTGGAGCACCAAGGAGTCCGGCTCAACAATCATTAGTTCCAGGGAATCTATTCTTGAATTTGAATAGAAATACACCTTTCGCTGTTGTGAAGGGTCCGAGAAATATTCAATGGCTAAAGGAAATGTAAAATATTCGTTTAGATATTCCCCAAACTCTTTCTGGATTCAAAATAGGAATAATATTAAATGTATAATAATGCTATCTTTGTTATCTCTCTTAGTGTGAAGAAGTTAATTGAAGTTATACCCACATTTCAAACTATCATTGCGACCCTTGGCGAATATCTCTTCATACTGATCGGTGGCATATGTGTACTTCACATGGAGCATGAGGTCGGAGCGATTCTCGAAGTACTCGTATCGAACTTTGGGGATTGTGCACTCGTCGTTGTTGAAAACTGTCAGCTGCATGACCTTTCCATCCCGCTGGGAATATGGAGAAAACCTCTCGTGAATGGCTCCTTTATATTGGATTTTCTTTTCGGAGCTGGGAAACCGCTGCTCAAAGTCGGCCAATCCGATGTGGAGTCTCTCCACCCAGGATGAGATGCAGTCCAAGTGCTTCTCCTCGCTGATGTCGCGATCCTCCTCGTTGATGTTCTCATCGGAGGCCACTTTGTAGACCCTCATTTCGGGGGGTTCCCCCGGCAACATGTGCTCCCAGTCGCCGGTGTCCCTCAGATCCCATCGCAGATCGCCGACCCTCTGGTACTTCTGCTTGTTCACATAGTAGTTGTAGTCATTCCAGACGCTGTCGATCAGGATGTACTGCTTGCAACCCGTTTCGCAGATGAATCCCGTCGAGGGTTCAATGAAAATGGCAGTGGGAGGAGCCTCAACCACATCCCCGTTGACGTCCACGTAGGTAGTCTTCGGCTTCACGCTCCAAGGAGCATTGTTTATGATCACCACCCATGCGTGACAGCGTCTGTAGTGATAACGATCCACGGCCAGCAGCTCGAGTTCCTTGGATTTGGATTTGGAAAAAACCCATCTTAATCCCCGTCTCAAATGTGCAAGTGCATGTCTACGCTCACCTCCATTTGCTTCCGGATAATTTCGTCCTGAATCCGCTTTTCCTCCTCGGCCTTCTGCCGGTGAACCTCGGCCATGTCCTCTTCGAGGTGACTCGCCAAATCGGGTAATCCGCGCAGCTTATACTTCTGTCCCGACTCCTCGACCTGTGGCTTTTCTTCCACCACCTCCACCTCTTCGATCGGATAGGGATAGGGAATGGCCAGTTGGTCGTTCAGGATGATCTCCTCCCGGGCAACTCCGGATACCACCAGTGCCGGGTGGCCCGCTCCAATCAGCATGCTGACCAGGAGAGTGGCCATTTCGTAGGAGTTGCCCTTGCGCCTTCGCAGCAAAGTATCCGGAGAAATCAACCGAGTTGGCTAGAGGATATAAGGAAACAAATTTAAGAAAAATATTTAGACCAAAAATTTCCAGGTTCAATTTAACTTGTAGTTCAAATCTTAATTTAAATCTTCTGACTTTATACCTTAAATACTTTCTATATCGACCGTTTATTTTAAATTAAGCTTCAAACCATTTCTAAAGAAATAAGTTTGCTCTCATTACCTTGGGAACATAATACCCTCAAAGTATTTGCAATCATCCACTGATGAACGACATTGGAAGCCAATATGCAATTGCTTAACAAGAGTTTATTAGCTGCATATAAATATACATATATATACATATGTAGAGGTATATAAACCGAGGCTGAGGAAACAGCACGTCAGTTTCCAGGAAATTTGGCACAATCTATTGCGCAGCACGAGACAAAAAGGAAATCTTCGATTACCTTTAACACATTTTACCTGCCGAAGGAAAATATATATGTGCCCTTATATATGGCCCTGTAAAACAGCAGGAGTCAAAGTCGAGGAGGTTATGTTTTACAGCCTTGGAAAAGTTATATCCGCTTTGCATAGGAGTTAGGAACAGCGTGATTTGGGAAGGCGAACCTGTTGAGCAGTGGGAAATTTGATTTCGCGCCTACGGGGGTATCTTAAAATTCTAAAATTGTTTCTAAAATAAGATTCTAAAATAAGATTCTAGGGTTATGAGTTCATAAGAAACTCACATATTCCCAAACCTAAGGAATATATAGAAATTAAGAAGATATTTTACATACACAACATGTAAATATAAATTCTTAAGATTCCAAAGAAATCGCTTAAAGATCTGTAACTTCTTAGCTGAACAGTAGGATGTTTTTCTGGACGTGGGTATTAAGCGTATTTTGTTTACTCATGCCCGCTCGTTTTGATGTTTTTTCTCTCGATTTGCGGATGTCATTCAGAGGTCGGAACAATCAGCGGTCTGTTTTCATTGCATCCTCGGCATCGCTGCCTCGATCCCACTCCCATTTAATCCTCCTCGGGCGTCCTTTGTCCGGAGATTGTCCCGATTGTTTACCTGCACATCTGCAGATCGACTGCCGTAGGTGGCTGCGTGACCCCGTGCCATTCATCTTCTTCCCTGTTCTTCCGCGAAGACTTAGGAGACAATCCCGCCGTTGCCAGGAATTCTCTGCCTGGGCGTCCGCAACTGTGAAACTCTGTGAAACTCGCAAACTATGAAACTGTGAAGCGTAGCGAAGCGGCCATTAACGCGGGAAACGCTGGCAATTATTGTGGGCCCTCGGCCGTGTTGCCTTTTCCCTTGCTGACATTTATGTTCTTGCAGATTGCAACAGCGTTTCAGTTCGGAAATTCAAGTAGATTTGGAGGTATAAGAACTACTATCTCAAAAGCCAGAACTGATATGAAAATTATTATTATTATTATGTTATATGAAATTAGGAAGTTTTTGCATTAAATTAAAGGGTTTACTCGAATATCGAGTAATAATAGAAATGTATGTTTCTTTTTCTGACCAATTTTCAACCCCGCAATAAACGTATTTTTTCAGGCAAAACTGGAACAAAGGTTCATAATTCAAGCGAATAAAATCAGTAAGCAGAATAATATACTAAGATACACAAGTGAAATGCACACCAAATTGTATTTATTTGTTTTACACCTCTAAAGGTTTTACATGCATACCTTAAATATAAAATACAGGAATATTTTCGAAAGTATTTTGAATATGCATTGATTATATTTGTTGTTTTCCAAAAATCGAACGGCAGGGTTGATGACACATTTTCGCGGGCAGCGGAGTTCGCTTCGCCGGCAACTTGGTGCTAAACAGGATTCAAGGGATTGGGAAGGAAGAGCGGACGTGTGGAGGGTCCTGCACCTTTCCACCCTGCGATGTACGCCCCGTCGCTTCGAAGAAGGCCATTAAAATGCAAAATCGCCGTGTGAAGCCATAAGAATCACAATGAGGCCCGGAGTCATCAGTTATCGCAGTGTTCCAGGTTCCAGAGGCTTGAGGTTCGAGGTCAAACACTCTCGCCCGTTCGAATCGATTAGTCGGCAAACCAGTCAGTCAGCGGCGTCTAATTGAATTCGATGCAAACGGCATTACCTGGGCATTCGATTGAGTTCTCAGCTCCTCTACTTCTGTTCAACTCCTCCCCACCCGGGTTCCCCGGATTCCCCGGATTCCCTGGATTCCCCGGATTTTGTGGGCCCGAACCGCCAGTTCCCGCGCTCGAGGAACGCTATCACTGCGGTCGCGCGTAATAAGAAACGCTTCAAGGTTATTCGAACGTGTTAAATTAGGATCGGGCCTCGCCGAGGAGTAGCAACAATGAGGAGCGAACATGACGAGAACAAAGGGACGAATGCACAGCGAGAATGGTGCAACGGGCGCCCGGTTTCCCGAACAGGGGACATAGCTCAAATTACAGCCACTAACTGGAGGGACAGTTTCGCGGGGATCGACCATTAGATACCTTAAATTACCTTACATTACTTCCGAAAGAACACCATTCCAGAATTGCAAGTATTCCAAATATGGTCAACTGAAAACCAGTTTTAAATTGGTATACAATATATTAAATAAATATTTTATTTAGTTTTGTATAAGTTTTTACCAATCTATTAAAATGTTTGCATTAATCATCACTGAAATGTTGAATCCTTTATTTGGATTGATCATAATGATATGACCTTTTAAAAACTCATGACTTAAACCATTTAACTAGTACTTTATATTTCAGCAAAGCTAATTATCTTTCCGGAACAATAACATCCCTTCATCCAATATACCCCACCACATAACGATTACGAGGTATAGAACGACCACGTCCATCTGAAGAAAGAAGTGCAGGAAAAAAGCGAAAAAAACTGCGCCAAAAGCGGCGAAAAATTGCGAAAAAGGGTGGCAAGCAGGAGGGTTCGCCGAGACAGAATCACTTTCAGTTGCCACCCTGCTGAAAGGCTGAAAAACCGAAAGGCAGAGGCGGCTGAAATGCTCGCGGGTCGCAACTCAAAACAATGCGGAACCGGAGGACTCAAGACGGGGTTGTCAGCCAAGCAGACAGGCGGCGGCACAATGCATCGCCTCCTTCTCCTCCTGCGATGCGATGGGATGTCCTCAAAAGGTGGCCCACACACATATGAACCACCCACATCCCCCTGCTTGAACCCCTCCCCCTCTTGGCAGCCCTTCGTTAGGATAACCTGGGGCTGGAAGGACTCGCTGGGGAGGCACATCGCTTATCGGGATGCATAATGAGCCGCTGCCATCTTTTCCACAAGAGCGCTGAAACAAAGCGGTGAAATTCAGCGCGATTCCTTCGGCCTGCGATTTCCTTGCGGTCGCTCCTGTCTTGAGAAAAGGGGGAGGAGGAGGAGGAGAAGGGGAAGGAGGGGTGGAAAAGGGGGGAGAGCGCCTCCAGGAAATCCCAAGCCGAGCCTTTTGCGGACGGCGGCGGCAGCATGTGTAAGTTTTTAAATGAGCACACACGATGAAAATCAGCGACTTAACCCCTTTATGATAATGTACTGCACGGAAGTGTTATTGTCCTGGGGACAAAAGGACACACGGCGTCGCTAGTGTCGCCATAATACGCGCAATGCCCCTCCTCCCCTCCTCCTCCCTCCTTTCCGGCCCCATTTCACCGCCTAATGTTGGCAAACCCAAACCCAAAGCCAAGGAAACCCGCTCACTATTTGCGCGTCTTCCCTGATATTGCGTCCTGGATGTACGTGGATGTCTATGGAGTCCCCATTCACCACGCTGGCGTTTTATTATTTGCCCGGCTTCCGCGACCCGGATCCCCATATCCTCGTTACCCCGAATCCCCGGGCACATAAAAGCCCGGCCAATAGACGCTCTTAAAAACGGCCAAGATTAAGATATAAACACGCGAAATTAAGACATTTGATTCCCCCCAAACAGTCAGTCAAAGCCGCTGCCTTTTCAGCTGGAGGAGCATAATGGTCTGAGCTGCGGGGGGCTTAAGTTGGAATCTCATCATAGTTTCACTCACATCCCGGCAGGAATTACACGCAGGATTTATTAATATGGGCCACGCTGTATTAGCCCAGTTTTGTAAGTGCCAAAATGACCCATAACTTCTGTGCTTCCTTACCTGATTTTCTTCATAAAATATTTAAGGAGTTAAGGGATTAGTTTTACTTATTTAAAAACCAAAACATCGTGTGAAAGAACAATCATTAGAATTTATAAATAATATATTTTAAAGCCTTAAGCATCAGTAGTTCGTTTTTTTAAATTTAAAACATTTAATCAGAATTTATTATTTATTCTCTTTTTCTTTTCCTTTTTCCCGAAAAAGAAAACCCCTTAAATGAAACTCATGTAACACATTTATTGTACTCGATGTAATTCGATTGACATATCTGAAGCACTGGCTATTCCCGACAGGCCCAATTTTTCGTCCTAATCAATACCTCTTCACATATGGCCCGCTGCCCGTTGGCGTATTAAATTCGAGCCCTGCCACATTCGGGGGCATTCTTATTCAATATCGCGCTGTCTGAGTTCGGCGAGTGTGTATACGGCGATGATGGTTTTAAACTCCGCCGTTGTCTTTGGGATACAGACTGAGTGGACAGAGGCCAGCCAAGTGGGGAAGAGGATGCGGGGAAAGGAGGGGAAGGGAGGGGGAATGCGGAAGGATACGGCGGAGTGGCACCCACCGCCGACTGCCAATGCGGCATCCTAACGACGGCGCACAACTTACAATCACAGATTCGATCCAAGTCACATGGCGTTGCCCACAGCGAGGATAAATGCGACGGACAGACGACGTCGCTAAGAACGGAGGCAGGATGGAAAATGAGGATGTGGATTGGGATGAGAATGGCAATGGAGATGGAGATGAGGATGAGGTCGCGCGGGGCCATGAAAAGGACTCGAGTGATGTGACGGGGGTCGCGAATCCAGACAGATGCGGACACTGATGCGAGGACTCGGACACAAAGTAGATGTGTGTTTGGTTTTGGTCTGCTTTTGAGCAAAGGAATAC